TGAAGCAAGTCTAGATTTCCTCTGAATGAATCTCTGGTCTCCTTGGGGCTCCTTTTCAGTTTAAATGGCTTTATTTGTTACAATCAAAATAATATATATTCAGAGATTAAGTTTCAGTCTAATTGTACCCACATTGGCTGACAAACCTTTTCCCTCAGTGTGACAAGGGCTAACTGTATGATTATTCACTTACTTACAGGTTAGCTCAAAATGTGTCTTCTCTACTCAAAACATAAAACTCTCCTCAAAGGCTTTTTCTTTAGCAAGGCCTATGTATTATCTGTGTAGACTGTATGGAAAGGAATACTACATGGGGCTCTTCCAGTATTGCATATTACCAATGAGCTTAATACATGTAAATACCTATCCCCTCTGCGTAACCTTTTCAACTCCGACCAGATTTATAGTGCATGGAGATAAGTGCACTTCTATTATATTATAATTAATATCTCCGGCAACGTAGAAGCATTCGTATATCAGACTGTCCGAGTATTCATAAATTAGACTTCATAGCTTAATTACTTCATTCGTATATCAGACTGTCCGAGTATTCATAAATTAGACTTCATAGCTTCATTACTTTTCTTGACTAAATGGACATGTTTTGGATTTTAGAAACTTTTTTTCGGCAATTACATAATAAAACAATTATAGACTGGCGAATTCGGTCAATACCTGTCAATATTGCTTTTCGCGGGTCCTTAAAAACAGGTATTGACCTCATCACAAGTCTATAATTGTATATTATTGCAACAAACACCAGCACTAGTACAGTACTAGATCTCAACTGTTTGTCCTCATGAAACTATATTTTTCTTATCGAGACAATACTGAGTCTGTTACAAGACCAGATTTTGACATTGTTGTGCTATAAAACTGAATCGGGAACAATACCTCACCTATGAGGTATACCATGTAATAAACACTTGGTGTCAAGGCTTCATGTTAATGTAAAGGTCATAATAATACCTTCAGCTAATTCATTTGTTCCTTCCACAAACAGGTCAAAGCCTGCCATTTGAAGCCTTCACTGTTTACCAAATCAATAGTGGACCACAAATGCTGAAACTGACCATAGCTGACCACTGGCCAGTCGGACTAATTAGGTCTGGTCTCAATGGTGTGTGGGAGTATGGAGATTAGCCGAGGTCGTAGACCATAATAGGCTAAGGTCAATCAGCACAGCAAGGTGAAGGCTAGTCTAGGGGAGAAGGTAAAGGTCAGCTGTGGTAAGGTTATGGGCAGGACAGCCTGTGACTGAATGAATGTGAGCTTGGGAGGCTGGTTACAATGGAGAGGGCTGGCTTTGAGATTTACTGTGGTTTTCTGCTGACATCATGAAGGGATGGGAGTTAGCAGGGGAGAAGACTGTAAAGGAAATCTTCGCAATCATTGGTTTCAGATTTTATGCAGAAATAAGTTGAATAAAAAATAAATTAGATTCTTTTACTGCAGATTAACAAATTACCTGTATTGTGTATATTGTGTAGTTCATCTGGCATATGTTGTTGACATTTCATTTCAACAAATTATACATGTTATATTCACATAAAACTGCAGTTGGTGGATCATAAAGAGTAAAGTGCTTTTCATTCACCAGTTCCCAAAGGTTAAATCATGGGGAATGCATAAGTAGCAAGGAGATGATGACATATGGTCTAAGGTCACTTAACACAAGTAGGCTGCTGCACCACTGTCCTCTGACACAGTAGACTGTCACTGTCTCCAGCACCAAAATGCAGTAGGCTGCCGTCACATACTGTTACCAGTCAGAAGAATACAGTAGGCTAATGCCACACACTGTCTTCAGATCACTCAGACACAGTAGGCTGCCATCACATACTGTTACAAGTCAAAAGAATACAGTAGGCTAATGCCACACACTGTCTTCAGATCACTCAGACACAGTAGGCTGCCGCCACATACTGTTACCAGTCAGCAGAATACAGTAGGCTAATGCCACACACTGTCTTCAGATCACTCAGACACAGTAGGCTGTCGTCACATACTGTTACCAGTCAGCAGAATACAGTAGGCTAATGCCACACACTGTCTTCAGATCGCTGAAACACAGTAGGCTGCCGTCACATACTGTTACCAGTCAGCAGAATACAGTAGGCTAATGCCACACACTGTCTTCAGATCGCTGAAACACAGTAGGCTGCCGCCACATACTGTTACCAGTCAGCAGAATACAGTAGGCTAATGCCACACACTGTCTTCAGATCACTGAGACATAGTAGGCTGCCGCCACATTCTGTCACCAGTCAGCAGAATACAGTAAGCTAATGCCACACACTGTCTTCAGATCACTCAGACACAGTAGGCTACCGTCACATACTGTTACCAGTCAGCAGAATACAGTAGGCTAATGCCACACACTGTCTTCAGATCACTGAGACATAGTAGGCTACCCCTTCATACAAATCACTTGAAACACAGCCAGCTACACTCCCATACCATCCCACACTAGTGTGATACAGTAAACTCCTGCTCAACATCCTCCTCAGATCACCAAAGTGTCTCTACACACTGTCCATAAATCACCACAGTACACCACGCTGCCTCTGTATGCGGTCCACATATCACCACAGTACACCAAGCTGCCTCTGTATGCGGTCCACATATCACCACAGTACACCAAGCTGCCTCTGTATGCGGTCTACATATCACCACAGTACACCAAGCTGCCTCTGTATGCTGTCCACAGATCACCAAAGTACACCAAGCTGCCTCTGTATGCGGTCCACAGATCACCACAGTACACCAAGCTGCCTCTGTATGCTGTCCACAGATCACCACAGTACACCAAGCTGCCTCTGTATGCGGTCCACAGATCACCAAAGTACACCAAGCTGCATATGTATGCTGTCCACAGATCACAGTACACCAGGCTGTCGCTGTATGCGGTCCACAGATCACCACAGTACACCAAGCTGCCTCTGTATGCTGCCACAGATCACCAAAGTACACCCAGCTGCCTCTGTATGCGGTCCACAGATCACCACAGTACACCAAGCTGCCTCTGTATGCTGTCCACAGATCACCAAAGTACACCAAGCTGCCTCTGTATGCGGTCCACAGATCACCACAGTACACCAAGCTGCCTCTGTATGCTGTCCACAGATCACCACAGTACACCAAGCTGCCTCTGTATGCTGTCCACAAATCACCACAGTACACCAAGCTACCTCTGTATGCTGTCCACAGATCACCACAGTACACCAAGCTGCCTTAACACACTGTTCTAAGATTGCCAGAATATAACAGGTTGCATTTCCATACCATCCTCAAATCACTATGACACAGTAGGCGCCTGCTCGACATCCTCCTCAGATTATCATGGTACAGCAAGTTGCCACCAGACACTGTCCCCAGATTGCCAGAATACAGCAGTTTGCTGCAACATACTGTCCTCAGATCACCACGGCAAAGTAAGGTGCCGTAACACACTGTCTTTAGATCACCACAGAACAGCAACTGGTTGAGTCACACTGCCTCAGATCACCAAAATACAGTAAACAGACAATACACATACTCCGTAGATCTCCACAATGCAGTAGGCCAGCCAAATACTGTCCACAGATCTCCACAATACAGTAGGCTGCTTGCCCAAACCGTTCTCAGCTCATTGGGATAGAACATGCTGCTGCCCTCACCCCTTGAGGAAATGCCATCATTCCATCCGATCAAATCATTTCCCTAACCTGTTCCCCAATAAAGATCTCCACACACCTTAGTACACCAGTTTCATCATTAACTGGTTCAGCCATCAACTTAATCTGTACTTATTTTTATAATTACTTAATCATAAACACCATGACCTTGCTCATGCTAAAGATTAATTCCCAAAAGGAGATGTGTAGCTCTCTTGGTCAGTATTTGTGTACAAACATAGATATGCTCATTACCTGTATTCATCACTATTATGCTAGTTATCAAAATACTGGACACCTTGGTTAGCACTTCCATCAGAAGACAATGGGGCTGGGGAAGTTATTATTTTGATACTGAAACGTGCACATGGGAAGCAGTACCTATTTCCAATATGAATACAACTAAAACACATCACTGGTTGCAGTTTGTCACATGCATACAAATTCACTTGAATATGCATCGACAAATTATGGCAAATCCACTAACGTGTTAAATCATCTTCCTTGCAGTTTTAATATATTAAACAGACTCCACAAACAAACTGGCCAAAGTTTGCACTTAAATTTGTTTATTTTGCACAAATTTGTGTAAAAACATCTGTGATAGAACCAGATGACATCATCATCACTTCAGGGCCTATTCCATATAGTGAACTCAGTGCAAAGATGATCCAGGACATTTGACAATAACTTAAGACATTCTTAGCTTATTTGTTTAAGTGGAACAAGACGAAACATAACAGAACGTTCTGGAAATTACAAATGTAACAGTCTGAAGACTTACAATGGCAACCAGATGGTACAACTTTCAACTGGAACCAGATGGAGTGAAATACAACTGGAACCAGATGGGACCACTTGCAACTGGAACCATATAGAACCACTTGCAACTGGAACTATGCAAAATGATTTACATCTGGAACCATTTGGAACCACTTGCAACTTGAACCATACAGAATGAATTACAACCAGAACCAGATCGAACTACTTGCAGCTGGATCCAGATAGAACCACTTGCAACTTGAACCATACAGAATGAATTACTAATAGAACCAGATGGAACCACTTGCAACTGGATCCAGATAGAACCACACTTGCAAATGGAACCATACAGAATGAATTACACCTGGAACCAGATGGAACCAACTACAACTGGAACCAGCCAGATGTGCCACAACAACTTGCCTTGCTTCATTCATTATGCCACAGTTAGCATTATTTAAGCTTTATCTTGGCAGAGTTCACAACAGGAACCTTAAGAAATCATTTTTGTGCTCTGATAGATGCATGTAGACACATCAACTACAATCATTTTACATGCTATGAAGAAGTAGGTATACTTACTGTGTTGTCAGCTATCCTTTCACCATATATGACATATTCATTCTTACTATCTCCTCCTCCATTGAATTTATACTCCAGCTTTCGCAGTCCCACATTGCTAAGACCCCCACCCCCCATGGGCACCCAGCCACCGGTCGAGTCATCACGGGTCATAACCTGTGCTTGTACATGCACAAGGTAGTCGCCACTGAAACAAAGGAAATACATTTTTATTACACATATGCATGCATCAAAATCATCAGGTCAGTGACCTCTGACCAATGGACACAGTTATTTTTACTAAAACTCGAAATTACAAATATTGCATGTGTGTGTGAACACTTAAACACTCCAGGTGTATTTTACCATTTCATTCTGTTCAAGTTATGTTTTGTTTTGTTTGTGTGCTGGTGTTTGACACTGCATTCAGCAATCTTCCAGCTATATGGCAGTGATCTGTAACTAATTGAGTCTTGACCAGACAATCGAATGATCAACATCATGAGCATCGATCAACACAATTGGGATCAAGTTTGTTATGAATGAGCTTATTGGTTTATACAAATATGGTTTAAACATATTTTTATTCTCAAAGAATCTTGTTCGGTAAACAAGCAAAACTTGCTTTTATAAATACCTCACCAGTACATATATCATAATATATCATCATTTATATAAATGTACTACCATGCACTGAATAACTTACGACACAAAACAATATCACAAAATATGCTTTCACAGCATTTGCTTTATTTAGAATTAAATATGGAATTGATTTATAGACACAATATCTTATGACTCCCAAATTTATAAAGGGACTCACAAAAACATTTACTGTGAGGCACAATGACTCCCACTTTTCAAAGTGTATGTAAACGTTATATGCGTGATGCAGTTTACTTTCATTTCATAAGCTGATATTGCTTCAAAAGGTGAATAACAATAAAGAATCACTCACTTTTAAATTTCACAGGGAAATCATAGTGCCAGGCATAGGATAGGCAGTGTGAATGCTATGCTATTAATGGCCACTTGGGAAATCCTAGAGGATCTGTGTAAACTGGGTGTGTTTATTTCTGTTATTATTCACATGTTTATTCACCTCAGTACTTGTAATGTTATACATCTATGTATTTTGATGCAGGCACTGTCAAAAGATTTATGATATTGTGGGCCTCAAATGGTAAAACTGTGTGGCTAGACACATCTAGGAACAACTAGATGCTAGACAATTTCAGCCAGTTGAGAATCAACAATTTGTTCGACACCTCCAGCCTATCTGGGAACAAAAGATTGCTAGACAATTTCAGCCAGTCAGGAAACAACAATTCGCTAGGCATGTCTAGTTTATCTGGGAACAACAGATTGCTAGACAATCTACCAGGAAACAACAGAATGAGGTAGAGAGTTGGCAAGCAACTCAGTGTTTAGGTGATAGCCATTCACTACAGTCCATGATGACTCACACCACTAACATGAGATATCTCCACATACTCCATCAACAGCCATTCATATCCTGCATACATTAACCCCCTGACTGAAGGGGGGGATTTCTAATTACTTAAATAGGAACAGATGCTGAGGTAGACAATCTTTGACTCTTTCATTCTGACCCATTATGAGGACGTATTTGCATGATTGGATAAATGATGGACATATCTATGATAAGATGGCTGCGAATCAGAAATAACCGACTCGTTAGCTGAGCAGGAAAGATATTAGTCACTCGCCCACTCGTCTGAAATAACCTCCCCAATGTTAATCTGTCAATAGGTGTCACTTTAGGCAAGCGGAACATCTTTGCTTCAGCAGTCGGACTGCATGGTATATATGATCATGTAGGGAAGTGTTGGTGCGGGCGGGCGACGGACGGGCGGACGGACGGACAGACAGACGGATTTGATGTTACTTTAAACAATGACCACCTAATGTGTGAAGAAAGCCTGAAGCTATGCAGATCACGGATTATAAGCCCTTAGGCAATCCGTACACAAGTTACCCATACACGGAAGCCATTGTGGCCACCTTAAAGCTTTCTTGTAGACATCAGGTATTTGTGGCCTTGCATGCCCCAGAATCTAACAATAGTGGTATATCAACATCCCATGCTCATGACAAGAGGGTAGATTCTGCCAGTCAGCAAAAATAAACACATCATGAATTTGTAAAAGGCATGTACACAAGTTGGATGAGTGAAACATAACCATCTCTAGGATGGTCCTGATGGCAATACAAGCATCTATAAATGTAGAAAGCCATTTAACAGGTATTTTGAAGAAAAAATATTCTACACATGAACAATGACAGTACTTAAAAGAAAAACATTAAAAAAACTGTCATAATTGTCATAATACCATTATCAAAGCACCGCGTTATTTTAAAGAATGGTAATGATGCTTGGCTCTCATCTCCCCCAACACTTTCTCCTACCACCCAACAACATTATTCACTGACTACCTTGGACAGTCGATAAAAGTACATCTATGGTATTCCTACCAAGTCAAATGGAAATGTAGAACTTATCCCTGACAGTGGTGTAGAATATTTAATACTACCACCGTCCCAGCAGGCCACCACATGTGTAGACAATACTATGCACTGAACTAGTTCTCAGGATACATGCATATGGCCATTACAGTACAATGGCCAAGGCATGTGTTCAATAATTCATTCATAACCTGATATCCTACTCCTAAAAATCCAAGGGTCAGGATGCCTGTGAACAATAGTGGAGACGGTGAATGGTGGATAGGTATGGGGAAGGCCAGGGGAATACCATGCTATTTAACAAGAAGCCAGGCACCAAGGTTTGTGAATAGGCCTCCCTCAGCTGCCAACCAAGGAAGTGTTCCTCTCTGGGAGACCTATATTTAGATCCCTGCTCCTTGTATCACAGCCAGCTTACTAGTGCAGCTTGGAGGAAATTTTACTTTAGTGAATGGGCAGGATGGGTTTCAACATCCATCGCCAACATGATCACTATCTGACATTGCTGCATCACCTGGCAGAAAGATGGCTGTTCAAACTTTCGTAAGATTTTGGCATGCTAACCGTGTCTTAAAATTATGCCTTGGTATTAGAAAGCAGCTCTCGTGTTTACTATTTATATCCCTCAAACATAGGTTTTCAAAAAAATAATTCTGAAACGTCTACAAAGACAGAATGGGTAAGGCAAGTAGGTGTACCCTTCATAGATATATTTCTCTGGGTGTACAGGCTGGGGCGTTGGGATAGTAGATCTTTCTCAAGCTGGTATTGGGGTACAGGAAATGTGGGTTTGAGGTGGGGAAAAAACACATCACTTGAGCAAGTGAGTGGGGTGGGTGTAGTTTTATGTTGCTTTTACTTTTAGCAATATTCCAACAAAGGGACACCAGAAAAGGACTTTGCATATTGTACCCATGTGAGGATGTGAATGCTTTCACTGCTAGGCTACCCAACCATTCTTCATGACTCTTGAAATATTTTTGTTTAATCTGCAAGCAGTCAACAAAATGATCATTCTCCCTCCATGTATTTCCTCTTTTTGCGCCCCTCTCTTCCAAATATTTATTAATAGATATCATACCCTTTCAGAAATGCACATTTGCAACGTTAGTAGTTTTCTCCAAAATCACAAACAGTGAATAAACAAAATAGTTTTTCTCCCTCAGTCTCCCCCCAAGAAAACAAAAACAGAAAACACAGTATTTTTCATTGTGAAGGGCACTTCTCTCTATCTATTGTCAATGACAAGTGCAATACACATGCCCTGCAAATGCAAACTGTAGCACCAGGTAGCTCAGTCTTCAACAGGTGATAATGTATATTTTACCTCTGAACCTAAACTTGATTTCCAAACATATTATCAAATGGTGTGTGACATTCATGCTAGAATAATATCGATTGACATACAGTCAGAGACGAACTAAAAACATCTTGAAAGCAGCTACCTCTCAAATCTTGTCAGTAAAGACACAAATTCAACACAATATCAATGATAGTACTTTTAAGATGGTACCCAGCACCCACACCAATCACAATATGTCGGAATTAATGACGAAGCGATGTTACACTTTTTGTCACACTCACTTCATCAAAACCCACACAGCTCAAACATCGTGCAGCACCATCAGTCAGTCATGTTACCATCAAATCTCAATTAATCATTGGTGGAGACCAAGATTAATTGCAGCAATGTTAATCATCAGAGGGCAGAATATCTTACATAGCTGAGCAATATACACATCAAAACATCTGCTTCCATGAGAACACATCGCAAATATACTTATTCAGTGCTCATGGTGGCGACGGCATATGTGGTGTATAATGGATAACAATATAGCAGTTTACTGTAGTCATCCTGTCAATTTAGAATGTAGCAGTGTACTGTAGTAATCCTGTCAATTTAGAATACAGCACTTTACTGCAGCAATCCTGTCAATTTAGCATGTAGCATTTTACTGTAGTAATCCTGTCAATTTAGAATACAGCACTTACTGCAGCAATGCTGCCAATGTAGCATGTAGCATTTTACTGTAGTAATCCCGTCAATTTAGAATACAGCACTTTACTGTGGGAATCCTGTTAATTTAGAATGTAGCAGTGTACTGTAGTAATCCTGTCACTTTAGCATGTAGCGCTTTACTACAGCAATCCTGTCAATTTAGCATGTAGCATTTTACTGTAGTAATCTCGTAAATTTAGTTTGTAATTTTGAACTGTTTGAAGTACGGGTGACGATTCATAGTATGGAGTACAAGACAAGAAAAACAAATTTAGAGTTATCTCCCTTCCATCGATTTGCATTCGCAAAACATCAGTAATTTCCGTACATCATACGTGATTCAATGTTATTTGAGATAAAGAATTACTACCACGAAGTACCAAATGAGTTCGGCATTCCCTGCGTGGTACATAGAAAATGTTACTCGTTTGTAAGCGGGGTACATTGAAAATAATAGAAGAGCGCTCAGCCAATCAGAAAACGACAATTATGTGTGAGGCAAGATAAATGTATCTATTCCTCATAGGTTCTGACCATCATTATGTTCCTTACCAGTTCACAGTGAGATTAGGACAGTGTACTTCTCAGTATCAAATAAATACAAAACAAATGAAAACAGAAAATTATTTTAAAATATCTACATTCTACTAAATTCTAGGTAAATATTTCTAACTATCTGATTGAAGGTTTGTTCTGGCAAGGGGCAGGCAGACACTGGTCCC